GAATATTTGCTATTGCTCTACTGATTTGTGCAATAGTGCATTGAGCAAAAATCTTGGTCTTGTCTTAGCCTTTATTGCCTTTATGACCGCCAAGTATCTGTAGAGCCAGTGACTTACCTGTATCACATATTCCAATGGCTGTTTGTAGTATCATTTTAATAGGCCTACACGTGCTCTTTATTTGGCATGTTAGCTTAGCTTTAATACTTTTACAATATACATATAGAGACATATAAGTGAGATACGATATGGAATGATGTGTTTATTACGAGCTAAAAATTAGAGTTTAATTCCTGTTTGTAGTATCATTTTAATAGGCCTACACGTGCTCTATATTTGGCATGTTAGCTTAGCTTTAATACTTTGACAATATACATATAGTGACATATAGGTGAGATGCGATATGGAATTATTTGTTTATTACAAACTAAAAATTAGAGAGTTTTAATGCCAATATGTATGAAATAAACCCTTAAGCGTTTTACAGTAATGTTTTAATGATAGGCCTACATTTTGAACGTTAAAAAAAGTAGAGGAATCTGCGAGTGTGAAAAGCTTTACCACACGGGAAGACGCCTGAACTAACATGGCCATTTACATCTTACGTGCCAATTAATACAGTATTATACGCCTGTCTCTTATACACATCTAGATGTGTATAAGAGACAGTACACGTGCTCTTTATTTGGCATGTTAGCTTAGCTTTAATACTTTTACAATATACATATAGCGACATATAAGTGAGATACGATATGGAATGATGTGTTTATTACGAGCTAAAAATTAGAGTTTAATGCCTGTTTGTAGTATCATTTTAATAGGCCTACACGTGCTCTATATTTGGCATGTTAGCTTAGCTTTAATACTTTGACAATATACATATAGTGTGACATATAGGTGAGATGCAATATGGAATTATGTGTTTATTACAAACTAAAAATTAGAGAGTTTTAATGCCAATATGTATGAAATAAACCCTTAAGTGTTTTACAGTAATGTTTTAATGATAGGCCTACATTTTGAACGTTAAAAAAAGTAGAGGAATCTGCGAGTGTGAAAAGCTTTACCACACGGGAAGACGCCTGAACTAACATGGCCATTCAGGCTTTGTTTGTAGTACATTATAATTGGTGATCCGCTAACGTTAGCGGATCACCTATTGTTATTGTACGGAATCATCATCTTCAACTTTCTTATTCTTCTTTCTTTCTCCCCTTTTTTGTTCGCACGATATCTCAAAAAATGCCACGAGTTTACGCACAATCGCTGTCAGCGAACATTTGGCTTGGTCTGGAATAGTCATGGTAAGCTTTTCAACGCGCTCAGTCATGCATGACGTCATGTACGTGCAATTTTGCGTTTTTACATTATCGATCATATCAGCCTAACCAATTGCCCTTTCGAAATCGTATTAAGTTAGCATTAACTTCGGGTTAATATTGGATGTACTGTACCCTAATTTTATGCGTGCGTTTCATAATGCGCGCGCACGCGTGCGTCAAAATTTTAAAATGCTCGAAATCACTTTTTAACTAAATTACAGCACGTTTTAGGCCATTTTGAGCATTTCAAATTTTTTTTTAATTTTCCACTACGCGCGCGCATTTTGAAGCGCGCAGCACATACCAAAGCTAGACACTATGTTTTTTCACATATTTTGGGTTCCTGACATTGTTTTCACAAACTTCCTTTCTTTTCGGTCATCTTTTGGCCAATAGCAATGCCGTACGTGCGCATCAAACATAGGTATCTTTGCGCGTATTTGTACCCCTATACAGTGAAATTATGGTAAAATCAGACCTTTTTTATTCAGTTACAGCTCCTTAGGTTGAAAGGTGACCCCCAATTTTTATTACATATTCTGAAAGCACATAAGTTGTAAATATGATTTTATAGATCAAAATGGCTGATCGGACATTGTGACGTCATCATATTGCCA